GATATGACCTTGTTTTTTTTTATGATTGTTACAGCGGTCCGGTAGATTTTCGAGTCTGGACCAGACACACCAGTGGTTGATATTGTGAGCAACATCAAAACGTTGCGTGAGTGAGTGAGTGAGAGAGTATGGTTTTATGCCGCTTTTAGCAATATTCCAGCAATATCACGGCGGGGGGACACAAGAAATGGGCTTCACACATTGTACTCATGTGAGGAATCGAACCCGGGTCTTCGGCGTGCGTGCGTGCAGACACACGCTGTAACGTCCATGTTAACTAATCAGAACAAATCAGATGACTACACGTAACTACGCCGTTGTATTAAGAACAGTCGCGGTTGCAAACCAGTGATTGATATAATGAAGACCGTGCCATGCCCTCGGGACCCGATGACGCCCAGCAAACCGATCCCCTGAGTTGTCTCATTTGACAAATTTGAGTAGATAGGTGAACTAACTGCTACTATAAATCATTATGGATTACACTCTTTGAGTACAGAACAAATTTTATTATTTTGGGGAGTTCCTAGACTTGCACAAGTCTCAAAGGTAATAATTATAATTTAAATGATAATTTCTGAATAAAATATAAATAGAAGAGTGGAGTCCTTGTTCTGTACTTTGGGCGGTGAGGTAGCCTAGTGGTAAAAGCGTTCGCTCGTTACGCGAAAGACCCGGGTTCGATTCCCCACATGGGTACAATGTGTGAAGCCCATTTCTGGTGTCCCCCGCCGTGATATTGCTGGAATATTGCTAAAAGCGGCGTAAAACTAAACTCACTCACTCACCTTGTACAGTCCCCTTTTCTAGACTTGCCTCTTTATAGGATAAAATTACTATACATCCATGGGTTTAGGACTCAGTACAGCAAGGTTAGAGAGTTCCGTCCTCTCCGGGATTCGAACCCACATTCTCAGCGTGGGGCACCAAATCATCAGTCCCAATGCCAGCGACTTAACCCATTGCGGCTTCGATAAAAATTGCAGTATGACAACTGGTAGTCCTTATGTGTACTTTGTGTACCCTACTGCCCCTGGGCAACTGGGGCGGTGGGGTAGCCTAGTGGTTAAAGCGTTCGCTCGTCACGCCGAAGACCCGGGTTCGAATCCCCACATTGGTACAATGTGTGAAGCCCATTTCTGGTGTCCCCCGCCGTGATATTGCTGGAATATTGCTTAAAGCGGCGTAAAACCAATCTCAGTCAGTCAGTCAGTCTGGGCAACTTGGCCTACTGCTTTAGGTGCATAATTGAAATGTCACATGAAAAAATCGTTTCTTAACCAAATTTTGATATATTAGGGGTGGTGTCGGTTAGTGGAAGAGTAATGAGAAACAAAATGTATATCTAAACAACACTACCACTCCACATCTACACTTACACGTCATTAATCTCACTCACAATTTACATACATCACTGATATCGACTACCGTGATACACGCGTTATTGATCGTGTAACTCTAATAACTAGTGGTGGTCGCAACGGTCGCAATGACTAAACGACCAAGCAATCGATCATGTTTTCTCATAATCGAACACAAACAATTCTGGAACACTTGCTTGCATTAACAATATTTTTCACAAGGATGGTTTTGTCTGTTACATTTCATAAACATTACAAGCTCGTTCCAAGTCAGGATTGAATTTATCTGAAAGACTCCAGGAAATGTATGTTCCTAACATACTAGTCATCCTTAAAGATGTTAAATTTGCACATGCATTTTGTGGAATTTGCAAAAACACTCATAAGAACTACATGTTGTTTCTTTGTTTTTTTGTGCAGTAACAAACATAACCAGAAAATTTGATCAATTATGCTGACCAATTATTTTCGATGATTGATCGGTTGTAATGAACCAATCATCAATAATGAGATTTTATCCAATTCCCAGCACTACTAAAAACTACCTCAGGTACAGCTCCACAGTTTAAATCTCCTGATATCAAAGGCACAATGTCACACATTTTCGACAATGCTTTGGCCTATATTATATATATTGGGGCATATGCACTCACTTTAGCTTCCTATTGATGCAATAAAAAATTTATTATCCCTTACGACTTGCCTGAAATCGATAATTGAAATTTCGAGGCGAACAGCCTCCAAACAGAGAACACTTGCCATATATGCAATGTAAACAATTCGTACATCGAAAACTGTTGCACCCGGTGTTGTCGTATTTCCCGAACTGGTTTCAATCCCAAGTTCTGAGTAGGATATTCGTAAAGAGCGCTCCAAGGGACATAACTCTATGGGATTCGTTTGAAATAATGTCCGGCTGGTAGAGGGCGCGAGAGTCGATTTAATGCAACGTTGCATTAACTCAAACTTTTAAATTTAATTTTGTAATCTAATCTATTCTTTTGGAATAATTTCTATGGTAGTTTACCCGAGGGCGGATAGTTAGTATTTTTGAGAGAAATGCATTATTCATTTTTAGAGAAGTGTGGTGTGATATAGTGCCTTTAATGTATGACCTACAAGAAATGGACAGCCTGGCCAGGGCCACACTATGCATATGTTAGCTGTAGAGCCCGTTCCATGTGGGGTTCAGTATACAGCACACTAAGCCGTTTCACACCCAGTTTGTAAATGTTGTGACCTTTGCAAAGGTCTGGTGGGCTATTTATGGCCCGTATGTATTAGTTTGATCTACTGACCGTAACACAGAGCTGGATATCATCGCCGACTTGAGTCCTCTATTTCCGACAGACGTATTGAATTAGAAGTGGTCACTGATTTCATGCTATCATCTATTCAACGCTTTAGGTTTGTGTTACCTATGGGGGCGGTGGGGTAGCCTCGTGGTTAAAGCGTTCGATCGTCACGCTGAAGACCGGGTTCGATTCCCCTCATGGGTTTAATATATTTCTGGTGTCCCCGACGTGAAATTTCTGGAATATTGCTAAAAGCGGCGTAAAACTAAAACTCACTGTTACCTTATATAGCTGTGCAATTGGCGGAGTGATTCACTGGTCTACGAGCCAGTTGTCGGTCATTTTACAGATAGATCACTTTTCAATTTACCACTGGTCTAGTCGATCTCACAGTCCCTGAAGCACATTATTTTCCATTCCGCCTTTTTAGCGAAAGGAAAGCCATTATTGAAGCAAGTGTAGGAATGGAACTTTTTATTTAGGTCCCAATTATATATATTCAGAGATTAAGCGTCAGCCTGCTACTCGTCTGAACTGCGGAAGTACTAGTCTAGTTTCCTCAGTCTAACCGAGATACTAGTCTCCTCAGTCTAATTCGAACTCGTTCACACCGTCTCTATCGTTCTCTCCATCTGTGTGTCCATCTGACTCGGTCTACTATTGTGAGTGAGTGAGTGAAAATGGTTTTACGCTGTTTTTAGCAATATTCCAGCAATAACACGGCGGGGGACACCAGAAATGGGCTTCACACATTGTACCCATGTGGGGAATCGAACCCGGGCCTTCGGCGTGACGAGTGAACGCTTTAACCACTAGGCTACCCCACCGCCCCACTAATCCCCATGAAGTATGTCTACTAGTCCACCACGTCTACTATCCTCCTGTCTATGTCTACTAGACCTCATCATGCGTCTACTGCCTCCATGTACAAGTCCAAGTTAGCTGTGTATACACCATGGTCTACATCTACTAGACCCATTATTTAACTGTCTAATATCTTCCGCTTCTTTGAGAGGCATTTTAGAAGTTGTAAAGATTAATGAAAATGTTAATAACGGTGTTAGTACCTACACCGAAACGTCGCACTCATTGCAATAAAGTGAGTGAGTTAATAATCGAGTCTGGACCAGACAAACCAGTGATCAACAGCATGAGCATCGATCTGCGCAATTGGGAACCGATGACATGTGTCAACCAAGTCGACAAACCTGACCACCCAATCCCGTTAGTAGCCTCTTACGACAAGCATTGGCTACTGAAAATCAATATTCTAACCCAGACCTTCGAGGGTCCATTTCAATAAAGACGTTGACTGTCCATAGAACTTGGTTTTCCTACTATCTTCCGGTCTAAATATTCTAATCGCAACACGGTCGGTGGGGTATCCCAGTGGTTAAAGCATTCGCTTGTCATGCCGAAAACCCGTGTTTGATTCCCTAGAACTCACTCACTCAAACACTCTAGTCCAAACATCTTAAGGTCTAATTCTACTAGGCATCATTTATCTACTATTGTCTACAGTACATGTCTACATATTCCTCACCACCCGTCCACCATAGTCTACAACCCTGGTCTGATCTGCTTCGTTGAGAGAGTGAGTGAGTTTAGTTTTACGCCGCTTTTAGCAATATTTCAGCAATATCACGACGGGGGACACCAGAATGGGCTTCACACATTGTACCTATGTTGGGATTCGAACCCGGGTCTTCAGCGTGACGAGCGAACGCTTTAACCACTCGTCTACCCCACCGCCCCTCTGCTTCGTTGAGATTTATTCCATGGGAAGCTGAAAACACTTAGCCTTCAGAGGGTTAAAAGCTTTCAGATTCAGCTGATATGTCGAGAAGCGGTTGTTGTCATCCTTCCTTTCTGAACAAGTGTGTTCTCTGTCAAGGGAAAAAAAGGTTTCCGTAAAAATTCCCTGCACGAAGTCATGAAAAGATGTTTTAGATATTTTGCTAAAAATAAATGCTTTTAAACAGAAAGAAACAGGCTTATGCAAAGAGAAACAGGTTTCAGTAAAAATTCTTTGCACTAAGTCATGAAAATTTGTGTCAGTCTGTTTTTATGGTCAATTCTTTTTAACAGGATGAAACACACAGTATTAAAAACCATGATCAAAACAATGTAGTTGCGTTACAAATAAAACTGAAGCTGAAGATTTGCCGTATGTGTCAAACAAAATAATAGTAACTAAAGCTTGACATTTCCCATCTGTGCCATGAAAAATATAAAAGAAGGTTGACATTTGCTGTCTGTGGCTCAAACTGCCTGTTCTGTCAAAAAGAAATATTGTATGGACAAAAGTAACCATAAGGACATGAAGACACAACCGAACAAACCATTGGCACAGGGATGCTTTAATTCAATCTATCCTCATCAAGGAAAGTTCTGCCGAAAGTTCCGTCTCTGTACGCACGAATCATCAGCTTCCCTGCCTCTTTGAAGTCGGGTCTCAGTTTGTAGGAATTATTGGAAAAATCACGAACTTTCAGCACTTTCTTATTTTTTATGGCAATATGAGCCAACACATCTAAGATATTGTCTGTAGCTTTGGGAATTCCGAAAACTTCGGTATATGCGAAATTGCGCATCTTGTTCATCCTGAACAGCAAATAGTCTGCTATGGTTTCCTCTTCAACTAAACAATCTGGTAGACATGCGCAAAGAGCAAGTCTCATGCCAGTTTCAACATCCGGGATTTGCGGAGTAAATATTCCTGGCGTGTCTATGATGTAGACCGGCGGGTCAGCGTTCACTTTGATCTTGTTAGCCACACTTTTGGTAATTCCAGCCTCTGCGCCTACGGCAGCAGCCCGACCCTTTCGTTTTATGTTCGCCCATCGCACAGTGTTTATAAAGGTCGACTTTCCTACATTAGGCACTCCTATCACCATGATATTGTATTCATTCAATCCCTTTCGACTGAATCGGGGTCTGGATTCCGTCAGGTTGATAATAGCAGGAAGGATTTCGCTCTTGAGAAATTTGCTCTGCTGAAACTGGCGGAGATCTGTGAAATAAACACTGTCGATGCCTTCCGAACTCAAACGGGTTTTCACGAGAGATTGACGAGATGTGTCAAGGTCGGCGAGATCTAGTTTGTTTAATAAAAGCACGTGTGGTCTGAGTCTTAAAATGTCTCTAAAACGAGGGTTACGGCCTGAGAACGGTATACGCGAGTCATGCACCTCGATAACACAGTCTATATCTTTCAGCGTGGCTTGTATTCTTTCCATGCCTTTGTACATGTGGCCAGGAAACCAGCGTAAAATGTCCTTACTGGGCAACGTGAAGGCTTGGCGGAACATCCCTGCGACTTGCGCCATTTTCTGCCTTTCTCCCTGTAACGTTTAGAATCCACAGTTTCGTCTGCTTCCACGCAGACTTCGAGAGCACATGTCGTGTTGTTTGTTTGAAAGCGGAAGTGGCTACAAAGGGACCTTACTCTATCTCAGTACGATAGTGTGACACGAGTTGCGTACCTTGTACTGAGTGTGTGAAGCGCTCATAAAATATATCATTACACCACGTTAGGCGACACTTCTTTGTACAATCTGTCGTGCTTGTTTTGTAGGGTTGGGTTTTATTAATATATATAATATAGATAAAAGGAAAAGTGAAAAACGTTATATTTTGTGACCGTGCCATTGAACTGTAGTTTTCTGTATCCCTTTGAGCCAGTCACCTATGCTTGTCGTGAGAGGCGACTAACGGGATCGGGGGGTCAGGCTCGCTTGGTTGACACATGTCATCGTATCCCAGTTGCGTAGATCGATGCTCATGCTGTTGATTACTGGATTGTTTGGTCCAGACTCGATTATATACAGACCGCCGTCATATGCGAAGTTTTATCTTTACAAGCTGAATTTGAACAGTTGTGTAGTTCTTTTGCGTGATATTACTTGATGCGTTATGTTGTTTTGCTTTCTTTCTTATTTTCATGTGTTTTTGGTTTGTTTTCTTTTTGTCCATTAAAATGTCAATTCTTTGTAAATTTATTCTCTGATAATTTTTCGAGGAAGTGTACTTATATACTGAATAAAGACTTCACTTACGCAATTGTCAACGATTCGTTTTCTCTAAGTATCACCTATAGCTAGTCACTTATGGTTGAGTGAATGTTGCTTACAACGCCTTGTACTATGTTGACATTTTGTGGCTATATCAAGCACTATTTGGAAAGAGCATTGTGAAATGTGTGTAAGTGTGGTGTACATTGTAATGTTTGTGTTGCAGGATGTTGATAGGGGCTCCGTTAGCTGACGACGCAGACCTCCCTGAACTGGACCGCCCGGGGTGCTGTACAAGTGTTCCTGGGCCTACAACTCGTGTGAGAGAGTCCCGGTGGATGATACAGGTGAGAATGAGTGGATAATTCAGGTGAGAGTCAGTGGATGATTCAGGTGAGAGTCAGTGGATGGTTCAGGTGAGGGAGTCAATGGATGATTCAGGTGAATATCAGGGGATGATTCAGGTGAGAATCAGGGGATGATTCAGGTGAGAGTCAGTGGATGATTCAGGTGAGAATCAGGAGATGATTCAGGTGAGAATCGGGATGATTCAAGTGAGAATCAGTGAATGATTCAGGTGAGAGTCAGTGGATGATTCAGGTGAGAATCAGGGGATGATTCAGGTGAGAGTCAGTGGATGATTCAGGTGAGAATGGGGGGATGATTCAGGTGAGAGTCAGTGGATGATTCAGGTGAGGGAGTCAGTGGATGATTCAGGTGAGAGTCAGTGGATGATTCAGGTGAGAATCGGGGGGTGATTCAGGCGAGAGTAAGTGGATGATTCAGGTGAGAATGGGGGGATGATTCAGGTGAGAGTCAGTGGATGGTTCAGGTGAGGGAGTCAATGGATGATTCAGGTGAGAGTCAGTGGATGATTCAGGTGAGAGTCAGTGGATCATTCAGGTGAGAATCAGGGCATGATTCAGGTGAGAGTCAGTGGATGGTTCAGATGAGAGTCAGTGGATGGTTCAGGTGAGGGAGTCAATGGAAGATTCAGGTGAGAATCAGGGGATGATTCAGGCGAGAGTCAGTGGATGGTTCAGGTGAGAATCAGGGGATGATTCAGGTGAGAGTCAGTGAATAATTCAGATGAGAATCAGTGGATGATTCAGGTGAGAGTCAGTGAATGATTCAGGTGAGAGTCGGTGGATGATTCAGGTGAGAATCAGGTGATGGTTCAGGTGAGGGAGTCACTGTATGATAGAGGAGAGAGGATCACTGTGTGTGTTTCAGGTGAGAAAGCCAGTGATTCAGATGAGCTAGTCACTGTATGATTCAAGTGATAGAATCCCTTTGTGTGATTCAACGTGAGGGAGTCGCTGCATGCTTAAGGTGAGGGAGTCACTGGATGATTCAGTTGAGAAAGTCTTGTTAGTGGTTGAGGCGAAAGAATCACTTTGGATGATTCAGGTGATAATGTCGATTTACTCTGTACTAAATCGTTGCATTTTAAGAATACAAAAGGCTGAAATCCATAGTTAAATCCTGGTTTATATTATCTATTTGTATTACCTATTCAACCAACACGTAATATGTTTTGTTTGTTTGTTGTTTAACGTCGCACTCAGCAATATTCCAGCTGGCGGTGGTCTGTAAATAATCGAGTCTGGACCAGACAATACAGTGATCAGAAGCATGAGCATCAATCTACTTAATTTTGATACTATGACGTGTCAACCAAGCCAGCGAGCCTGACCACCCGATCCCGTTAGTCGCCTTTTACGACAAGCATGGGTTACTGAAGGTCAATTCTAACCCGGATCTTCACAGGTAACATACACGACGAAACCGCTGGCAATGAAATTGTAAGAATGATCTCATCGTTTTTGTATTTCCAGGAAATATCCGCCAGATGGTGCCTAAATGGAAGAACGTCACTCTGCACCATAGTAAGAATAAACAGTGGCTGGGTGCGACGTTAGACGTCAACATGGACGGCGACAACCGAGTCGTGGTGAGTTGCTTTTACTGTTGTATATCTCAGCCCGCCGCAGTCCAGGGTTCGATTCCATACATGGGTACAATGTTTGAGTCCCATTCCTCGTATCCTCCGTCGTGGTATTGCTGCAATATTGATATGAGCGGCGTAAAACTAAACTCACTTACACACTTTTGGGGGGATATATGTCGCAGCATCATTCACTAGTTGCACTAGTTCACGTTGCTATTACACAAGTCTCATTATGATTAATCTCGAATTACCATGACTGACTCATATGTAGTACAACAGTGAAAATCTGGTAATCATTACTCCACCGCTCGAAACTATTTGCCTAATATGGTATTTTCCCCCACGAACGAACTTAGCTATGTTGCGCGCACAGTTTTTCCGATCTTAAAATAGCCATGTTTGAAAACCGGCTAATAGCAATTGCGTGGTCATTATGTGCCAACAGGACAACATATTGACATTTGGTTTTTAGGCAATGTTTAACGCCGCACTCGGCATTATCCCACCTATATGGCGGTTGTCTGTAAGCACAGGCAAATTGTAGCGCACTTAGGGTTGCGCAACAAAGAGAAAATGACCAGTCTTTCCATATGCTTCGCTCGCATATGGAAAGACTGGTCATTTTCTCTTTGTTGCGCAACCCTAAGTGCGCTACAATTTGCCTGTGCTGTAAGTAACCGAGTCTGGACCATATAGGCCAGTGATCAACACCATTAGCATCGTTCTACGCAGTTGGGATACGATGTCATGACATGTGCCAACCAAGTCAGCGAGCCTGACCACCCGATCCCGTTAGTCGCCTTTTACGACTAGCATGGGTTGCTGAAGACCAATTCTAACCCGGATCTTCACGGGATCTAAATATTGACAGATAAAGACTTAGAAAAGTGTTTTGCGAGTTGTGGCAACTGTCGGTTGTGTAATTGACATTTGGAACATTGGAACTAAGTAGTGGGGCCAGACATTCACGTTTTGATTTTTGTTTTAAAAGTTTTATTTATTTTTTGCGACATTGTGATTTTTTTAATCTCGTTCCGATCTTCACATCGTTGCAGCTATAATGGTCAATGTCATCAAAGTTTTTCACAATGCATTTAAGCATCCCCACTGAGTCTGCTTGACTGAATAAGATGACATCTGACATGCCCGTTTTTTCTTTCGAAGACATTACGTTATTTTTTGGATATAATTTGTAGATTTTTAAGAACATTTAACAAACTTAATTTACAATTTTTACAATTATGTTCTCAAGAAACCCAAAGCGCAGAAAAACTGACATTTGTCTCAGCTATAATGTCTATAAGAAGCACTTCATTGGAATCAGGAAACAGTATTTACCATTCCATCGTGACTGACTGTCAGCTCCGATGTGGAAAGTAGTGTTTATAGATTCGTTTATACTTTTTTCTTGATTCGTCGGCTCCAGAATAATTTCATTACGTCCTCAATATTCGAGGGAGCTTCAGATAATTGTGGCTCTATTTCTTAGTTTGATAGTATTTATGAAATTTTCCGCACATATGGAACCAACGACTGAACGGTTTCTTCGTCATGGATGGATATTTACTTTGTTTCTTTTTTCATTTCCATTTAATCAAATTGGACATTGATTGGTGTCTGCGTTCGTTACACGACAGGAACTGAAAGGCCAATTATTTTTAGGATGTGTTTGTTTGTTGTTTAATAACGCACTCAGCAACATTCCAGCTATATGGCGGCGGTCTGTAAATAATCGAGTCTGGATCGGACAGTCCAGTGATTGGGATACGATGACATGTGTCAACCAAGTCAGCGAGCCTGACCACCCGATCCCGTTAGTCACCTTTTACGACAAGCAGGTTGCTGAAGACCAATTCTAACCCGGATCTTCACGGGTATTCTTGATCACGAAGAATTTCTTATACGTTGTGTTTTCGTAGTTAGGTAAGAGACCTCATCGGAAGAGGAAGTGCATTAACAAACTTGAAACCCGTTCAATACTTTTTCACAAACTTACCAAGTGCTGAGATTAAGTGTTTGCCCATACGGTAAATATTAGAGTGTTCATCGCAATAAGAATAGTGACCAAATATTTGAATCATTTTTGGGAGCCTCACATGTAAAGATTTCTTACGATCTTTTTCTGGATGAAATGTTATTTCCTAATTGTTACTCTGTATTTTTACAGGTTTGTGCCCCGAGGTGGAGGGACAGGGAGTTTTTTGTTCAAGGTCATGAGTTTATGAACGGACTATGTTACGAAGGCAATAGTCAACTGGTGTTTAACGAAAGTAGTTCTTGGCCGGTGCTGGAGTCATTCAGGAAGCAGATTCATACGCATGGACACTACATGTACGGCATGGGGGCTATGGGGTTTTCCGCGGAGTATTCCAAGGTACGGTCAGTTTGAACACACAGTGTGGTTACGTGTTCAAATATTGAAAAGTGTGTGTGTGTGTGTTCTTTGTGTGTGACTCCGGGGTCTCTGGGTTGTGTGTTATGTTTTGTGGAGGGTAAGTATGGTAGTAATTACCTTTCACTTTGCCAGGGAGTTGGGTTTTTTTAATGCCCCGGTTTTTACTTATTTTTTACTGTTAAAAGAAGAGTCGAGCCTTTCTTTTCACAACACATTTTTTCATTTACAACATCTCTAATGGAAAACCTAATTTTAGAAGAAAAACCAGGAGACAAATTATCTTTTTCTACTGTTCTACTCGATCTTTTTTCCAGCACAAAACACAGAACTACACAGTCGGACTTCAATAAGTTTTACTCCTAGGGTTTATAAGAAATATTTGGATTGTTTTGGTCCCTGTGCCTTGTTTCTTTCTTGTCTGTCTATTTCATTTCTTTAAATATGCTGAGGTACAAAAGAAAGTACAAAACTGGTTATTTCCCAATAACCAGTTATTCCCAATAAACTGGTTATTTCCCAAAATCAGTGTTTGTGAAATGAATGTCAAAATATATTTACGTTGTTTGTGTGAAAATAGTCCCAAAGCACATTGGGACAGTGGGGTAGCATGGTGGCTAAAGCGATTGCTCGTCATGCCGAAGATCTGGGTTCGATTCCCCACATGGGTACAATGCGACTTATGGTGTCCCCCGCCGTGATATTGCCTGAATATTGCTAAAAGCGGCGTGAAACCATACTCACTCACTCACACCGAAAGCACCAGATTTTTAGTTTCTTTTGAACGCCAGTTTAGCTCTTACTCTCGTAGTTGATAACAGATATAGACTAGTGAGGTTCTAAATTGCTGGGGCGGTGGGGTAGCCTAATGGTTAAAGCGTTGGCTCGTCACGCCGAAGACCCGGGTTCGAATCCCCACATGGGCACAATGTGTGAAGCCCATTTCTGGTGTCCCCCGCCGTGATTTTGCTGGAATATTGCTAAAAGCGGCGTAAAACCAAACTCAGTCAGTCAGTCAGTCTAAATTGCTCTCCTCCACAACAACGTGACTTACATACCCGACATACAGCAAACCCCCGCTAACCTGGACCCCGTTACTTCGGAATCCCTGTTTTCAGGAAGATCACCGTCATAACGTCTACTATTATACTAATAACATAAATCACGATTGGTTCTTACGGAAATTGGGAAAGGTATTGTCCAGAATGACGAGGTTTCACTATATATCATATCAATTTCATCTTAATCATTCTTGATTATGTACTTGATGACAATGAATTATGACATATTAACCATTACAATGTTTCAGGACGGAGAGTTTCTAGTGATGGGATCTCCAGGGCTTAACGATTGGACAGGTATCTACAATCTTGACACCGTATAAACTGGAACCTTGTTTTTCAAGACACCCTTTTGAATCCTTACTTTTCGAAAGAATATTACTTCAAACGTACCCTTTGGCGAAGGCCATTCTTCCATATTGCAAAGAGATCCGTTTGTCTGGAGTGTATGATGAAAGCTAAAATCCTCTAGATTAGTGGGGGCGGTGGGGTAGCCTAGTGGTTAAAGCGTTCGCTCGTCACGCCGAAGATCCGGGTTCGATTCCCACATGGGTACAATATATGAATCCCATTTCTGGTATCCCCCACCGTGATATTGCTGAAATTTTGCTAAAAGCGGCGTAAGATTAAACTCACTCACTCACTCATTTTTTGAGGAATCTATGTTGCAGCGTCATTCACTAGTTGCACTAGTTCACGTGACTATTACGCAAGTCTCATTATGATTAATTCATTGAATCCGATTTGATAGTTACATGCACAGGGCGACGGGGTAGCCTAATGGTTAAAGCGTTGGCTCGTCACGCCGAAGACCCGGGTTCGAATCCCCACATGGGTACAATGTGTGAAGCCCATTTCTGGTGTCCCCCGCCGTGATATTGCTGGATTATTGCTAAAAGCAGCGTAAAACCAAACTCAGTCAGTCAGTCAGTCAGTTACATGCACATATCTGGTTAAAAACAACGCGTGAAGATCCTTGTTAGTATTGATCTTGTTGTAAGAGGCGACTAAAGGGATCAGGTGGTCAGGCTGAATGACTTGGTCGAGACATATGCATGTCATCGTATGCCAGTTACGTAAATGGATGCTCATGCTGTTGATCACTGGATTATCAGGTCTATACTCGAATATTTAAAGACCGCCGTCATAAAGCTGAAATGCGGCCATAAACAACAAACCAACAAACAAAACGTTATGGTAAAATGCAATTGTCAAATAAAAAGTGTTACTTTCTTTTGCACGGAAGTTTGTTAACGTTCCTTTAACTTAATTTTGCATTTTTATAATTTAAGGTGGAGTTATTCGTGTGAGCGGCGGACATCACTCAAGACCAAAAATATTCGAACCATCTCGAAGGATATTTAATAATTCTTACATCGGTAAGTATAAGATTTACATGCATCATGGACAGATTCTAGAAGAGCTAGCAATGGAATTACCATATTTTAGCTGCCTCATTAATTCTGATTATTTGAACGAATTGTCGTAACGGATGTTTCATACTGTCGGAAACAGGTGTCTCAAACAAGAAACGTTAGTTGTTGAGGTATAAACCTGTGAAGATCCGGGTTAGAATTGGTCTTCAGTAACCCATGCTTGTCGTGAAACAGGTGTTAGTAATGTGTAACATAGGTGACCCGTGAAGGTCCGGGTTAGAATATTGGCCTTCAGCAAACCATGCTTGTCGTAAGATGCGACTAACGGGATCGGGTGGTCAGACATGCTGACTTGGTTGACACATGTCATCGTATCCCAGTCGCGTAGATCGATGCTCATGACGTTGATCACTGGATCGTCTGGTCCAGACACGATTATAACTGGGATATCGCTGCTGAGTGCGACGTTAAACAACAAACAAAAAACAAAATGAGGTATAATGATGTTTATACTGGTATTTTCAGGTTACGCGATAACGACGGCCCACCTCTCCTCTGACGCAGTTTTCATCATCGCAGGGGGTCCACGAGCAGAGAACAAAGGCAAGGTTAGGTGTGTTATATTACGCTACTATATACCGTAAAACTGCTTATGACGAAACACAGATAGCAAAAGCAGAGATGTGGCCACTGTAAAAACCTTAAATAGAGATGACCTTTGTGTTGACCCCGATGAATGAGTTGCACAGGTAATGAAATTCTCGATGTAATGACTACTTTGGTGAAATGTGGGTTAACCATTGACGGGAAATTTGGGTCATGCCCACTAACGGACTACTTTTTGTGATTGGCCGATAATGAAATGGGCGGAGCTTGTGTTGCATTTCAGTGCTAAAACTGGTTTCGCACTTGATGTCTCCGTATTTTGTGTTTATAATTATGTTTGTGAACGTGACGTATTTATTTACCACAACTGACCTCTGGTGTGTTTTGAATTTATAGAATTATTCCGGTAAAAGCAGTGTGCATAATGTGTACTTCAGCATAGCGCACCTGAGTTCATTTTAGATTTATGCTTCGTAAGAGCAAGAAAATGTTAAGTCAGTTCTTAGATACTGATATGAATACAAAAAACAAACAGTATCTGTTTACATTCTGTCGTTAGCCAAGGGAATTGTTCTTTTTGTATTATTAAATACACATGGACTTGTAACGCTGAAGACAAGCATCAAACCATCAACTAGCATCATGTAGTAAATGGCGGGGTATTAGAACAATATTAAAACAGTAGTGTTAGAACCGGAGTATTGATTGTTCAAAACGGCGATAGGTCCACTCACTCACTCACTCATAAAATCTCACTGTGTTACAGGTCTTTATTTACGACTACAACTTCGACGTGATGTTGGTGCTGGAGGGACATCAGGTAGGTGGCGCTGTCAATGAACCTCTTCAATGCTACGCGATGCATAATAGTAATTATTCATTATAACCAGCCAAACGGAAATTCAATTGTCTCGGATCTTCAAGAACGACAACATTTTGGTTATGAATAGTTTTTCTTGTTTTCCATGTGTCGATGCGAATGTTGTGATGTTTGTATGACTTTATTTGATTTCAGTTTGGCAGTTACTTCGGCGCATCTCTATGCGCAGCTGATTTAAATGGCGATGGCCTTGATGACCTTATCGTTGGCGCGCCTTTATTCTCAGAGGTCACGGATGAAGGTCAAGTTTACGTCTACATCAACAGAGAGTTTGTAAGTGTTCCCATCACAATACGGATATATTTTGACCATTAATTTTTGTATAAGAATAAAGAACTCCTCTTCATGCGCGCCAACCCAACACACTGTCCACTAGTCGACCAGAAACGTGTTGCTGTCATGATATAGCCTGTCTCTCAGTACCTGAACCATTTTCCCGTTCTGCCAGGTCCTATCTGGATTGTAAAACCTAAATGAATCAAGTTTGTATTTTCCACAGTATCAGAATATGAATCTCCCATCTCACTTGGGCTCCCTTCCAGTGAGACTAACGCTGAGTCTCTGAATATAGAAACAAATCCTTCCTTTTAAATTGAAAAGGGTGATGGTGGCGCAGATGGAATTGGGTTTAACATCGTGCTTAAGAATATTTCGCTCATATGACGATGTGCATGCGTGTGTATGTGTATGTGCGGCTGCTTGTACTAGCCCAGACTGAAGCTGGTTTTATAGTGCTAGCCCACTGAGATACCATGCCGCAGTGAAGCATGAATACCCCACTCAGACACATTATACTGACTCCGAGCCGAGCAGTCCTTGTTGTACCCATTAATGCCGAGCGCCAGGCAGGGACCAACAAGTACCATATTTTAACGTCTTTTGGTATGACACGGTCGGGGATCGAACCCGCGACCTTCCGCATCGGACGCTCTAACCACTACACCACGGAGGCGGTAAATTGAAAAGGAGCCCCAGTGAGATAGGAACCTGAGCAAACCTAGACTTGCTTCATTCAGAAATGAACATTACAGAAAGGGCTAGCGGCAGGGAAACTAATGCTGTTCAGGAACTATGAACTCTCCATAAATGGCAGCTGCTATTTCCTGAAACAGACTTTGATAGGAAAAATATATTTACAGTATACAGAAAAGGATTGCAAGACACAAAACTTTTAGATTTTCAATATAGATTCATACAAGGTGTTATATAAAAAGGTGTTGCTTAAAATGAAAAAAGTTGACAGCAGTCTATGTTGTTTCTGCAGTGATCTAAATGAGCGTGTTTGTCATGTGTACTGGGAATGTCAGGAGACACAAACTTTTTGGAAAAACCTACAAATTTGGCTTTACAATTTATACTCTCACCCATTGCTATTATCAAAACTGTAACATATGGTTTGGTTTGGTACTCTACATCATAATATATTACTAAATCACATCATCATTGCAGCAAAAAGACACATTTACGTATGCAGTATTAAGAATACGCATCCAAACATAACTCTATTTTATAAAAACTTTGAAAGAAATATTCTTTGTGGAAAACCATATATGCAAAAGAAAATAATAAAATAGAACATTGCAATCATAAATGGGGTCTTCTCTTCCCAGTACTTCGATGAATTTAAAATGTATCCATATTTACCTGATATCATATTTCCCTTTACTTATATATGTGAATTAACATGATATTGACGTAGTACCTGTACATCATCCATCTGTCTGTACATCACTTTTGTACATATGACATTGTAAACCAATCACACAAAAAACAAAACAAACTATAATTTTTAAAAAAACAAACAAAAAACCCTATGAACTCTCCATTTCCAGAATTATTTGTATATATCAAAATCAGTATTGGAAAGACGAAGGTAAGTCTACGTCATAATGGCATACCATGAAATAATTGCAAAACGTATTTGTTCTTAGGTCATCTAGTTTATGTTTTGGGGTATTTACACTTAATCCCAGATTCGATCTGATTATGATTCTTGGTCTCTCAGCACACTGCTTTTGTGTTTTCATCAGAAATTTCAGTGTCGTCCGACGCACTCTGGTTCAACTGAAATTTTGTTCACAGCGACGTTTAATGCGTTACTTTATGTCAGTCTTATTGCTGCCTTTCAGTTCAACCTGGAATTGGAAGCCGAGCTGTCTGGGTCGAACACCCCCACCGCTCGGTTTGGGACGACTGTTGGCAACATCGGTGACGTCAACAGAGACGGCTACCAGGGTGAGACAAACTGCTGACCACCCGACCCTCCTATTGATTCCGCCCCTCTAGCCCCCGCCCTCGCCCCCCTAGCCCCCTGTTGTTACAAGCCACCAATTAGTACCTCCAGCCCCTCGCCTGGCTGTCCTGTTAGGGGCTAGGGGAATGATGCCCTACTGACATTGTGCTGAGTCAGGCGTTCACTTGAACAAACACGCGAATACCGTTCAACTTAAAAACAAGGAAAATACATATGTTATTATTTTGATCCTGATACATCAGAGCTAGAAATGTACTCTCCAAATCGACCGCCTCCGTGGTGTAGTGATTAGAGCTTCCGCCCGGAGAGCGGAAGGTCGCGGGTTCAATCCCCGACCGCGTCATACCAAAATACGTTAAAATATGGTACTTGTTGGTCTTTGCCTGGCGCTCGGCATTAATGGGTACAACAAGGACTGGTCGGCTCGGAGTCAGTATAATGTGTCTGAGTGGGATATTCATGCTTCACTGCGGCATGGTATCTCAGTGGGCTAGCACTATAAAACCAGCTTCAGTCTGGGCTAGTACAAGCAGCCGCACATACACACGCATGCACGTCGTCATATGAGCGAAATATTCTCAAGCACGACGTAAAACCCTATTTCACCTCACCTCACTCTCCATATCGACTATGACTGTGAAGCCTATTTCTGGTGTCTTAAGCTGTAATGTTGCAGGAATATTTCTAAAAGCGGCTTAATATACACCTTCGTTGTGTGTCAGATATCGCCGTGGGAGCGCCTTTTGAGGACGACGGCAGGGGCGTGGTGTACATCTACAACGGGGCTAAGAGTGGACTACACAAGAAATTCTCTCAGCGTGTCGCCGCCAGGGACCTCTCGTCACGTCTCTACAGCTTCGGCTGGAGCATCTCCCGACCCGTCGACGTCGACAAGAATCAATATGTCGGTCAGTCTCCCTCACTCATGCGACCAAAAACCACCTGCCAACTCTTACTCGCCGTCTCATTCCCTCAATTCCTCCCTCCCAGACGCATCCTCTAACCAACGAAGACACGTAAACTCACTCACTTTTAATTTTGTTCCAGACATCCTCATTGGAGCCTTCTCCTCAGACAGTGCTGTTCTTCTGCGCACACAACCTGTCATAAACCTTCGGGTTACCATGGAGATAAGCCCACGTGTCATCCGCCCGGATGGACAAGCGAACTGCCTGTACAAGGGAGCCCCAGCTATATGTATCACGGCGCGGATCTGTGCTCAGTACGACGGCATCAACGTCCCGGAGACGCTCGGTGAGTATGGGCTGTGGGGAGGCATCACTCACTTACTGATCGAATCAGTTCCAACCTGCAATGTGGGATAAACATCAAATAATAGTCAATTACCCAATGATAAGATGTGAAAATTTTGGCATCCTTGAAGAAGAGATGCGTACTTCGCATCTTTTTGTTTCCAAGATTCAAATTAATTCCTTATCAACATAAGTACAGTAAGGCAAATGCATGAATAAGTACAATCAAACTTAGCATTTAACGGCATCAATTACCTCTGTATAGTTTTTTTTCTATACTGTAAACACCCTGTCCTCACGAATAACAGTAAACCATATTATTTGTCATCCTTGGGAAGGTTGTTGAGAGAAAGCACATTAACTTTCCTTGGTAATCCTTTCAGAGTTAAAAAAAAATATGCCCCAGAAAAAAATATGATGCCTGTGAAAAAATCTCTTTGCTGCAGAGATCGACGTCATCCTGAAGGTGGACACGTTGGAGAGACACCGCAATGTCAGAAGGAGGCTGTTCCTCAAGGACCCCGGAAGTAACCAGGAAGTGGAGTCAATGAAGATCCCCATGAGGCTGTCAGCCGGACGAGCCATGGACTGCATGCCGGAGATAGCAATCTTTACACGGGTAAGTCTCGCATACCCTGCTTTCCACGGTCATTGTGTTCCAAAGGGACACGGGAGGCCCATTGGTCCAATGCGCTTCAATTCGCTGTGCAGAGTTGCGTCACTTGAGCATGTCAAAACTTCTTGTCGGCGCGAATCCGGTATGCGACGATTTTCTTTCAACGTCAGACAACACTATACCTATGCTCGTGGGATTCCGTGTGGTAAACGTACTAGAACTGCACCTTTTCTGGCTTTCCTTCAGGGGTGGAAATAACCCATTGCCCGACGCCCGAGTCCAGTGTTTTTTTCTATCTGGCAAGCAAAGTATATCACACTGTACCGGTGTCCAGTTGATATTCCAATGTTAGTTATGTTGTTTATTTAAAAAATCAACAAGAAAACGGCCGGTATAGTGGAAAAATTATCAGGGCAAGTGATTTTACATGTGCCACTGTACCGGAGTACACTAGCAATTTTAAAGTTATTTCCACCCCTGTTCCTTCCATACATCACATACCGTGATATAACTGGAACAATGTTCAAACTCACTCACTAATATTTCAAGAGGCATAAACTCAATCGTGGTAATATCTTGTTAATTGTTTTCGCTGATCCACAACCTGATCATAAAATACATTTTTTGGCATCCCCTGCTGTGACATTGACTGAATGTTGGTATTTCGGCATGAATGAATAGTCCCAAGTACGTGTTTCCCGGCCTACAACACTGCCCTCTAAATATCTGTGTTACTAGACAATGATGATGGCAATATTTCCTTACGTTTCTGTCCTCAGAAAAGTCGTGACGTCATCACCCCGTTGCAGATGGAACTGGATCACTTGATCAAACCGGGTACAACTGGTGTGGACCGCCATTGTGATATATGTGCTGTGCTCAACATATATCACCCACAGACATATAGAATACAGGTGTGTAGAAACAGAGAACTAGTTGTTATTGCAGGTTCGTGTAGGACAATACATGCTTCCAGTACCAGATCAGTACGTGGCCACCCGTGAAGATCCGGGTTAGAATGTGTGTTTCAGCTTCTGATTGTATAAACGTATTGGCCTAACCCATGTTTCATACCTGTCTGAAAAAGGTGTCTCAAACAAACGGTAAGTTAATCGCAACTAAATGAGGCATAGACCCGTGAAGATCCGGATTGGAATCATCTTCAGCAACCCATGCTTGTGGTAAGAGGCGACTACCGGGATCGGGTGGTCAGACTCGCTGACTTGGTTGACACATGTAATCGGTTCCCAATTGTGCAGATCGATGCTCATGTTGTTGATCACCGGATTGTCTGGTCCAGACTCGATTATTTACAGACTGCAGCCATATAACTAAAATGCGGCGTTAAACAAGAAACGAACACAGTATATGGCCATTGGTATTGGTTCGGACTAATGACAGCTATGCTAGGCCCTTGAGACACCAGGATGCAGATTAACACCAATAACGCTACTCACACACAGTAAACGATTCCAAGTCGACAAATTCTTGTTATTCCTTTAGGAGGCAGGGAAACAAGAAGTACTATTTTTAATGTCATTTGTCATGCATGTGCTGCCAGGAATCGAACACCAACCTCCCGCTCACAAGGCAGAGGCTTTATCCACTATACCACCAGACTATAGTCCTATATGTTGACCGAAACAGAAGAACGTTCTTTAAACATGCGTTCTCAGTTAGTGTTGGAAACATCCTCAGTCCAGTGTTTTTTGAAAATTCAGAATCCCTAAAACTATCCATAGTCACGTGGTGCAATTAATCCTACCAATTCTTGTTTCAGGCGATGTATGACAGAAGCTGTGGCTCCAACAACATTTGCAACTCTGACATCAACCTGATGGCCGTGGCCAGGTACTCGCAGAACGACCGCTACCTCGTCATGGACAGCTCGCCCGTGTTTGAGATCGAGGTTGACCTCTATAACACCGGCGAAACAGCGTATCTTACAGTCGTGACCTTGACCTTCCCCGACACCATCAGCTTCAGTCGGGTCCGTAGGTGAGTTCCGGTCCAGTTACCATAGAAACAATCCAGCCTCTTTTATCATTCACAACCAGTAAGGCAATTAGATATTACTATCCATGGGAAACCATGGATTTTCATTTTTGTTTATAAATAATCCTTCCCCGAAAATGCTGGGGACAAAATTCTTCATCCTGGTGTTTTCACTACCAGAAATAACCCGTTCACTAGAAAAGACTGATGTTCTGAAGCTATTGTTCTGAGAGCTCAAAATAACTGTTTGTTTCTACCGATAACAGGAAACTGAAATTGTATGTCAATTGAAGAGAGACCTCAACATATCTTAAGGTCTCAGTTCCAAACTAATTTCTGTAGAATTCGTTTAGGTTCATTGCATATAATGGCCGACGTTTTCATCTTGTTTGGCATTGCTATAGGATCATGGGAAAGAATGAAGTCACGTGCCTTTCTCAGAACGAGGCTGACACTATGAATGGTACCGCAAGGATAGAGTGTGACATTGAGAATCCTCTGGAGAGGAACGAAGAAGTCATCTTCAGCATCAGGTTCTACTCTCCTATGTACCACCATGACGACCTTGAGAACTACAACTTCACCGTCGTTGCGACGACAGCCAGCGTGGACGAGGATTGGGAGAACAACCGGGTCAACGTCATGGTGCCTGTGAGAATGGAAAGCAAGATCAAGATATCAGAGTGAGTATATTTGCCTGTCGAACGCCAGAAATGGTATTGTGATTGACATCATGAGCATCGATGAAGATAAATGGAATACGATGACAATAAATCAAGTTACGAGCAGCAGCAACCCGAGCAGCTGATCCTTCAATAAGCATAGGTTACAAGCGAATATTCTAACCCGGCCCTTATAGACCTGGAATACAAATGATTTACGTTAAGTTTTCACTCACTCACTCTTGCCCAGAATTCCGATATGTTAGTTTGAATGTGTGTTGAATGTGAATGTGCACATGTGATACACGTGGTCTTAAGGCAAGTGAGTTTGTTCAAAAACTTTTTGTTCACCCAGCAGAAAATGGGTACCCGGTGGGAAATGTTATGTGACTATAGCCTCCTAGCGCCTAACAGACAGCTTGGGTTATCCGGGGTAATAATGTGCTGTGCTAGTCATTGTTAGCCCTATGAGCATACCTGATGTTGAGTTTGGCGCTATGTAAATGGACACATTATTATTATGTGTGATTCCATTCGGCTTCCCATGAAGAAGAACAAGGTCAAGCTATCAGTGCTGTGTGTGTGTGCGTGCGTGTGTGTCTACACGTGTTTGTTTGCAGTTGCACCGTCAGTGGAAAGTAAAGAACAGGCTAAGCAAATGTGCGTCATGGCGTCATGTGCACAATAAACACATCACAGTGTATGTGTGACGTATCTGAATCCAGATATCATAGCGATGACGTCTGTCTGATCAAAGATATCCGATTGTTTGTTAATGCAAGATATTTGTCTCAAATATACACCATGACAAATCCCGCCTCCATCACCTTTCCCTCTCCTCCTTCCAGCGCCTCCCTGCCAACACAGATGCTGTTCTCTCTTGACCCCAAGGTCACGGACCCTGAATGGGAGTACGTCAAACACGTGTACGGCGTCAAGAACTACGGACCCAGCCTCTACCCTCGGGGACAGATCGTCATCCTCTTCCCTATGTCTGCCTACATCGCGTACGTCAATCATACGGTGAGTGAGACAGCTGGGTATGAACGTATGCCAATCATATGCCAAATACACGGTGACATTGACAGGTGGTCGTTAATATAAGTATGTCAATCATACGGTAAGATACGTCAAACATGCGTAAATGGGACAAATTGCCATTGATTTTGGACATGTCAAATACACAGGGACAGGAGGACGTCAATGAAAGCATGGCTGTCGTACGGTAAGGTACGTCAGTCATACGGTTAAGTATGTCAATCATACGGCAGAATATGTCAATCATACGGTAAAGTATGTCAATCATACGGTAATATATCAATCATACGGTAAAATATGTCAGTCATACGGTAAAGTATGTCAGTCATACCGTTAAGTATGTCAATCATACGGTAAAGTATGCCAATTATACGGTAAAATATGTCAATCAGACTGTAAACAGGACAGGTGGTCTTTGATGTAGGACACGTCAACACTTCGGCCAGTGAGACGGGTGAACTATTGTACGTCAATTACACACTGTACAAGGGAGTCTCACAACTGTGACACTCTCCTGGTCGTTCCATTGTCTCTCACGCCATTGCTTAATGTATAACCCGAGAGGAACTGTACAAAATGTAAAGAAAGTCAGACTTTCTTCTCAATTCCAAATCCATCTCATCTCAGCGTATTTTGAGTGACCATATTTTTGAGCAATGATTTCAGTTTGTGTCACCAAGAAGAGTTGGGGATTTTCTATCCTTCATGTCACTGGCAAGTAAATGCAATATGTTCATCTGACCACACCTTCCCCAGGTGGATCCCCCAATGAGCAGGTGCAGGTGGACGTACACTTCCATCTCTTCCGGGGGAGTCAGGACAACAGCCGGACCCACGCTGTTCGCAGCCAATGAGAGGGAGAGCTACCGTCCGGTCGAGCTGGTAAGTGGACAGACTGGACATAAACGGCCAGGCTCCATCAGCATAGCATTCAGTACATTAGGGTTGTCCTCTTCAGGAATGGAAATCGCGTCAAGTAACTGAAGCGTTTGAAAGGGCAACGGTTATTAGAAATACGAACTATAGACAAAGCTATTCAATGGATAATACACGTGAGTAGTAAAATGACTTACAAAAGAAAGTACACACCAACAATTCATCAGATTGATTAAATGTCGTCTGTGTAATTAAAAGTATGGGAGTTAGCTCTACGGCAGCTTGGTGGATCCGGACTTTGAGTATCGATGAATGAGTTAAACAATATGCGTTAATGTTTTATATAGTACGGAGACACATGTGACCTAGTCGTGCCTCCGATGTAGAGAGTTGTGTCCCTTGGAAATTCCTAAAACACATGGTCGCGGGTTCGATTCCCGGTTCATCCCGATTGTTTTTAGGTGTTCATATTATACCGTGCTCGTGGATGTCCCCAAAGTTTTAGTCTGAGTTTATATCAGTTCGAGCCTTCCTCCATTCGAGTTAAACCCAACTCACTCGCAAATTCGCTCACGCATTACATCAACGTCTTGTTTATATCGTCAGGTGTGCACAGAGAGCGGCTGCATCAACATCACCTGTCCTATAAAGTCACTGCGGGTGGACGAACAGTTCTTCATCACTATCAACTACAAGGTCAAAGTGTCCATTCTGAAAGACCTTGAGGTGAATATACATATTGCACATTTCCATGAACACGGTTCAGATGGAGATTAGGGATGTCATTGGTCCCTAGCAACCTATGGTTGTCATAAGACAGGGATGTCATTGGTCCCTAGCAACCTATGGTTGTCATAAGACAGGGATGTCATTGGTCCCTAGCAACCTATGGTTGTCATAGGACAAATGTCATTTAATGGATCAGTTTGTCAGGTGCTTTGACTTGCTTGATTGGTATACCATGCCGGTTGTAGTTAGTTTGTTGGTTGATGTCATCGTTTAGCAAATCGCGTAGATCGATGCTCATGATGTCAATCACTGGGTTGATTGGTCTAGATTCGATCATATACAGACCGCGGTCTTATAGCTGGGATACTGCTGAATGCGGTCTTAAAACACAAACAAACAAACAAACAAACAAACAAACAAAAATGTGACATACGTCAGTATCGGAAAACCTCTGTTTAACTTCATGAACCTCATCTATAACCTCATCATGGTACTTCCGACGAATAACCACTTTGTTATTTATTGATAACGAAAAGTGAATTTGAAGATTTCACCGAATCCTCGTGCCGTGTCTTCACGCAGGGGGGCATATGGGTAGATAACCTAAACATGGAACAGAAAGATTAATTTTTTTGTTTAAATCATCAGACAATAATTGTTTAAAATTGTCAAAATGGCGCTCGTCCCCTGCCTCGTTTTCATGTGCCGTGTGTTCCAGGTGAAGAGGGAGCTGCGCATCATCTCCAGTGCGGAACTGTTCGAGCCGTATTCAGACAAGTTTATATCTCTCAGCAAGCACAGGAACGCTTCAGTAAGTTAAAACATCGACGTACTGACCTATGTATGGAAGCCTTTAAGGACCATTCGTATTTTTTTCTTGAATTTTCAGGATGCTACGTTCAAACGTACATATTGTACCCATGTAGGGAAATGAACCCTGGTCTTCGGCATGACGAGCGAACGCTTTAACCACTAGGCTACCCCGTCACCTCCGAGTGGTATTAATAGCTGTTTCCTTCATGTCAATGTTTTCTATTTTATCTAACTTTACTTATTATCACTAAATTATCCATAGATCATCCTTGAATCTGATAAATTTTTGTTTGTTTCAGGCCACGACATATATAAATGCGGAGAGGGTCGGTAAAAAAGGATTCAAAATCTGGATTTTAGCCGTCAGCATTGTCAGCGGCTTGCTGTTATTGTACCTAGTGGGCATCATTCTCTGGAAGGTCAGTAGTGGAGTGAGCGTGAGTGAGTGAGTGAGTGAGTGTGTGAGTGAGTGAGTGAGCGAGCGAGCGATGAGCAGTCTCATTAAAATCATATCTTAACGCTCTGTTGGTTGGTATGTTGTTTAGCCACACACTGAGCAGTGCTTTAGCTATATGGCAGCGGACTGTAAATAATGGAGTCTGGACCAGACAATCCAGTGATTGACATCATGGGCATCAATCTACCAAATTGGGATACGATGACATGTTTTATCCAAGTCGGCAAGCATGGCCACCTGATCCCTCTTACGGCAAGCACGGGATGCTGAAGACCAAGTCTAACACTGATCTTCACAGGTGCTTAACGCTCCTGAATGTGTAGTGGAGGTCAGGTGAGGTGAAATTGGGTTTAACGTCGTGCTTGAGAATATTTCGCTCATATGACAACGTGCATGCGTGTGTATGTATGTGTGTGTGTGTGCGGCTGCTTGTACTAGCCCAGACTGAAGCTGGTTTTATAGTGCTAGCCCACTGAGATACCATGCCGCAGTGAAGCATGAATACCCCACTCAGACACATTATACTGACTCCGAGCCGACCCGTCCTCGTTGTACCCATTAATGCCGAGCGCCAGGCAGGGACCAACAAGTACCATATTTTAACGTCTTTTGGTATGACGCGGTCGGGGATCGTATGCTCCAGATTGCAGCACAGTACCTCCCAGGTCTGTGGCTAGTCATTTCTGGTTCAAACATTTATGCCATTGGAGCGAAGGATAGACGATGACGTTCGAAATACCTCGTGTTTCGAGGATGCATGATTAGAGGGCGCAATTCGACTGCCTCATTTCACGTTGTTTTCATATTATTCTGTTAATATTTGTTGTTATGATTTAAATACATATATATTTCCTCTTTTTCTAGTGCGGATTTTTCCGAAGAAGGAAACGAGAGGAGCTGCAAAAACTTATCCAGTCGTCCGAGTCGGAAAAAGAGGCGTTGAACACGGTTAACCTTCCGGGTCATGACCCCGTCAATGACGTCATGGTACTTCCGGCGAATAACCACTTTCCCCCTCCGCACGAAGATGTAAATTTTAACAATAATCTGAATAACCATTGGCCGCCGCCTCATCCTGCGTTCAGCAATGACACGTACTTAGAACCAATCAACATGAAATCATAGGGGGCAGGCATACGTCACTGTATCCATTCATCTTGAAATGTTCGTAGGTGCGAAACGGAGACCGTCCAATCTTGAAGAGCTCGTCGGTTGGATTGGAACTTAACTGCTTTTAAACGCTTCCGCGCAGTTAAACAAGAAAGGGACGAGTGCGAGTAAAGTGTAGAGTCAGGGATTCCAAGATGGAGTCCGTATTTTTTCATGACGTCAGAACCACGTGACTACTCTGCCAATGACTTCACGACAATCGTAAAGCTGAGGTGGCTTTTCAAGGTTTACTGTTACAAAAGATTCAGATGAATTGTTTCTAATCTGTGGAACTAAATGCTCCGTTGGCAGTTGAATGCAACATAAGTGGGAATATGTGAGAATCTATGGCCACGAAAGTTTCCATTCAGTTACATTCAACGAAATATTTTTCAATCGTTATGACCAATAATTCATGTCTTTAAAAAATGTACTAACAAAAACACACAAAAATATATTTTGAACAGACCAGAACCTCCTATGCGGGGCGGGGCGGGGCGGTGGGGTAGCCTAGTGGTTAAAGCGTTAGCTCGTCACGCTGAAGACACGGGTTCGATTCCCCACATGGGTACAATGTGTGAAGCCCATTTCTGGTGTCACCGGCCATGATATTGCTGGAATATTACTAAAAGCGGCATAAAACAAAACTCACTCACTCATGACCCGAGCGAGTACCTTTATAACGATTGTAATAGAACGGGTAATGCCGTGTACAAACACCTCGTTAATCTGGACCATTTCACTAAGGTAGCGTCCGGATTATCGAGGTTTCACTTTACACTGAAAACTGAAAACTTTTTCTCTCAATCTCAAAGGGTGTAACATTAGCCTCAGTTGCGTTGGACATCGAATATTTCATATTATATAATTACATGCCATCCAGTATTTCCGCTTGCCATTTGAATATAGGGCGTTTGTTTGTATTACTTAAACAATATCGTTTCGCACTGTCGGCCTTAATTTTCGCCTACAGGGACGTGTGGCACTGACATGGTGTGGGGCTTTATAGTGGTAGTTTTTGTTTTTAGTTTATAATTTAACACGTTATATGTCGAAGTAAACAAACATTTAATTTTTTTTGTAAATTATTTTTTGTTCGTTATATCCAACTCCTTAAAGTGCGATATATTCGTGTGAAGTAGCCAAATAGTTACAGCATTCGCTGACACGCTACATGCCCGGGTTCGACTTCCCTCGTGGTTGTTGCAGTGGGTGGAACGTATTTCTGGTATAGGGGCGGCGGGTAGCCTTGCGGTTAAAGCGTTCGCTATAACGCCGAAAATCCTGGTTCGATTCCGCAAATGGACATAATGTGTGAAGCCCATTTCTCATGTCCCCTGTCTTGATATTGCTGGAATATTGCTTAAAAAAAAAGGCGTAAAACTATACTCATTCACTCACAATTTCCCGTGTACACACACACACGCGCACGCACGCACACACACACACTGTTTCTCTTATGAGACTTTAACACATTTCAGTATTGTACAGGGTGAAATATGCATTTTAATAAAAACAATATTAATAATATTAATATGTCGTTAATCTCCTGACAGTGCGACAATTCCACCCATGGATCATCTCTTCATTTGTCACATGGTCCCATATATATAACATTTCCACACACCAAGGTGAAGTATTCCATTTCTTTTCCATCTGAAGCTGGTTTCATTTTAAACTGAGCCATTTGTAAATATCACCGAATTAGGTACGAAGACTATGAATAAATGAGGAAGTGTTTATTTTCACTTATGTGTACGAAAGTTGTGACCAACTGATGTAATTGATATTGTCTTATCTGTCCATATTGTAGTTAGCTTGTGATGCTTTTTATTTGTTTGGGTTTTATATCTACATATATACCGGTAATATTTATCAGATACATAGTCACAAGTGTATTTTTAAAAATACGTTTATTTATTCGGTTGAATATATCTTTAAGATTAATTATCCCGTCTGTTTTTATATTTCGAATGTTTTCGGTTTGATCTGAATCACAAAAGTGGAAAATCATTCTGATTATAGAAATAAATGACGATTTCAAGCAGTTATATTTGAAATTATTTTCAACAGGCGCTTACGATAACTCGATATAGCTTATTCAGGAGGTAACTGTATTCATCCAGCAAACATCCAGATCGGGTCCATGGTAAAAATCGGCACTATGCTTGTGTCGAAATACATATTTCGCGACAGAATTATCTCGAGGAATTCGAGTTAAACATGTTTAAGTACATGTGACTAATGTACTACGTGACCCTGCTATCTTTGTGTTGTATTAAAGATATGTCTCTCGATGCGTGGTTGTATTATAGTGCTGTTGTTTTAAAATAGTTGTATCATCCTCGACAATCAGGGGAATTATAATCCAGTATTATACTTACCCTTAAGCAGTTCGACGGCGCCATAGCCTTGCCTCGGACTTTATCTCGTTTAAACAGAGTTTAGCTGGACGGCTAAGTTAAACATGGTATACTCTGTGTACGAGGATGCATATGATAAGTATATTACATTTTGGAGGAATAACTGAGCGATTGTGTGAGCATTCAGAGGGTATATTTGTACATGCCACGTTATATTGTCCCTGACAGTGGAAGTAATGCTATATGAATTTATATTTATTTATGTCATGTTGCATATTAACGATTCCTAGCGCACTGAAGTGTATGGATTAATTACACCAATTCTTTGTAAATCATAAGCTTCTGGGAAAAGAAAATATTCAAAGAAAGATGCATTGATACAAACATTCACCCTGCACCACAACATAACAGACTCTCGCTAATCCGGGCCAAATTTCTCCATAAACATTTTTCTTCCCGGAGAGGGAATAGGCGCCGTTGGACAAAGACTTACGACAATCGTAGCGCTGACGTTGCTTTGTAAACGGCACCCTTGGCCCTGAATATTCAAAATATTAATATATCAAATATTATGATTTGTTAATATGGACACTTGTTAATCCAGACTATCATTACGTCCGGATTACGGAGGTTGATATGGCTAATTCTTTGTGAAAGGTAAATGTTATGAGTTTGTGACACTGTAACATCTTGCTAGATCGAGGTAGCTTTAGGGGTACTGGAGGATTTGATTTCTCGTTTCTATATTATCTCCTTTTTCTCATAATCATTATCAAACTCAAATCAACTGCGTATTTTAATACGTGCATCATCAATGTTGATTCCATGGTACGATGTCAACGGCCTCACACGAAGCTCTTTCCTACGCTAGTTTTCTAAATCGTAAAACGTTTGAAAGGGTACGCTGTAACGGCCATGCCTGTCGTGGTTAGCTTACTTGAAGAAAACCCTATCTTGCTCTTGCATTTCAGATTTATATAGGGTTACAGTAGTGATTGCCTTATTCACGCAGGGGCAAGTTATTGGTTTCATACGTAAGGTTGATACCAATGATTGGTTTTTTTTATTGTGAAAGGTCACTACACCTTGGAGATCAGTTCTCTTAGACTGGTTCCATACGCTGGGTGCGCATGAGTTCAGTGTAGCAAAATAACAGCGGATATAAATTTTAATGGAACCGGATGTAGATTCTTATGAAACCGGAAGTAGAGGCCAATATGAACCGGATATTGCTTGGCTAGTAGACTCGTGTCACTGTGCTAGTCTAGAGTAAGGCTTGGACAAATGCCGACAGTTTTGAATGTGGGCCACCAAGTCATCATATTGTGAAGTTGTGCCAAATGTGTCTTTTATACCTTATATGTATATATTTGAAATATTTGTAATATACACGTCTTGTATTTTGTACCATACGGACTTGCTCTGCTGTTGTGTCAGACTCTCAAATGAATGGTTAATATTTTCGAAGGTTTTACTGTGAATGACTGCGTTTGTGTAATGATAATATTACCGTGGTATTATGCATGTATTATTGTGATAGGGTAATGGTGAGGTTAATGTGTTTAATCTCACGTTCATGATTATTGCTTTTACATAACGACATGACTGCGTGTGTGCGTGTGTGCGTGTGTGCCCGCTTGTCCTAGTCCCGACTAATGCCGGTTTTATGGTGCTACTGAGAGAACATTTCGCAGTTTAACATCGTAGACACAATATACTATCTGTGACTTGATCAAGTATATGTTTTCACCCACTGAATTTCGATTGCCAGGCTGGGAAACAAGTACTATGTGTTAACATTAGAGCTGTGACGATATATCGTGGCATCGATAATCGTGATACTATTTCTGACAATAAATATATCGATACTTTTTTCCGTATCGTGATATGTATCGTTGACCTTAAAATTGTGAATTTTCACCAGAAATTGACGGTTATGTCAAAATTTACAGTTTCTTGTTATCAAAATACACCGTTTTAAAGAAAATAACTAATGATAGCATATCTGCATCGTATCGTTCCATTATCGCTTTACGTATCGTATCGATGAAAGCATGTTTCTGTGTCATATGACCCAACACCGAAAGATGGTAGCATGTTTTTTGTGTCAGAACAAAGTTTAAGCTCTATAAGGTGCTGTATGTTCTGATGAAAAGAATGCATGTGGTCCACGGGCCCAAGGTTTATAGTTCTCATGGCGGAATTTGACAAACAGGGGAGTGAGAAATCGATGTCTACATCATTGTGTCATTCCGGTACCCACGGAGCAAGAGGTTGTGAAAGAGACAATTTACGTTGTAATTACACCTTTTAGTTGTTTGCAAATCTCGCTAAGTATAAGATGCAGTATGCGTGCGTCCGTGAGTGTAAGTCGGGGCGGGGGTAGGGACTATAAAGTAAACATGGGAATAGAGAAGCACCATCCCATTTTGCTATGTCATCTAATTTAATACTACTCGCCTTTGATAGGAATAAAAGGATATGTTAACAAAGATATCCTATCCAAATTAGAGTAGTATATGATATAAAGAAATAGAGGGTCGGTTAAAAGATTAGTGAAAACACTATTGCCTTGAAACAGTGATTAAAATTATCTTTCAATAACAAATATTTGTGTATGTATTCCAGTTGGTCAGATCACAGATCATGTTTAAAACAGGAAATGTTTACAACGAACATTGTTTGATTTTTTTTTAGTATCTTTTTAAAAAGTTTAAGGGAAATATGTGCTGACAGAAATAATAACTTCAACAGATTGTTTGATAATCGTTTATAATTCAGTAAAGATGAAGACATAATTTTTATGCGTAGCAACTTTTGAGATATGCATAGCACCAATTTTTCAGAATATCATGTTTACTGTTTAAAAAGCGTTACCACGCCGAAGACCGTTCGAATCCCCACATGGGTACAATTTTGAAGCCCATTTCTGGTATGTATCAATATTGCCGGTATGTATCAGCCCGATAGGTCCTCAACATGTTTGTCGTATGACTCGACTAACGGGATCGGTGGTCAGGCCACAGGCCCTTGTGTCGTTGCATGGATATTACCAAACAAATTAATCTCACGAATGTGAGAAATAAGCTGTACTCTATAATCATGTGTAAAGATATATAGGATATTCTAACATTCGTGATATCAG